GAACAACCCCAGCTCCCTCAGCCTGTCCTCGTAGCAGAGGTGCTCCATCCCCCTGATCATCCTTGTGGCCCTCCTCTGGACCCTCTAAGTTGGTAGTCTCTCTCCCACCCTCCTAGTGAGGACATCAATGTTGCCATGAAAGTGCTATGCCTGTGTATAGCTATTTCCACCCAGAAAAACTACTGTCTTGGTATAAAGACATGCCTAAGGCAGCCTGAAGCCTGGCAAAAAAGAGAGGATTGCATCCTCATGGTTTCACCTTACCAACGTGACATCTATGCCTGCATGCATGCACTTGTCTGCCTGCACGTGTATCTTCTCTAACAATCTTAGTTGGCTCCATTTCCAGCCTTTCTAAACCTGTAAAATCTCTGTTAGCTGCCACACAGGAGCATCATTAAGGCTATCTAGGCAAGACAATGATCCTACATGGCTTTTGTGGAGTAGTGTAATACTGGAGTAATTAACTCATGTAACTTAATGTGAATGCTCCCAGTGCCAAGAAGAAGGCACCTTTGTGGTCTCATGTCCTACCATCACTGGGCTGGTTCAATTGCTCTCCATAGGAGGCTTAGGCTTGGGGCTGCTCTTTGCCTTTGGGAAGGGGTGGATAGGAACAGGGTAAGAAGTGCACTCCCAGAAGGTTGCCTTCTTGGGAAAGGTGTACTTTCAGCTTTGCAGGTCCCTCTGCCCCATGGGGTTTCCTGAACCCCATCCAGGACGTGCCCTAGCACAGGGCTCACTCTGGATGTCAAGCTCTCCATGCAGATGACTTTCTGTAGCAATGAGCTCTTTGGACCTAGAAGAACGCACAGAGCACATCTTGGCTTTCCAGGGAGGCTCATCTGCCCTGGAACAAGACTGGCATTACCCTTTGGCACATCTTCAGAGCTTTTTGTGTTTAGCCCCCATGCCTCACCTGCAGCAACCAAGGTTAACGCTGGTAAGGCAAGGCATCCTTGATGTGTTTGTGAAACCCCTAGAAGCAGGCACTAGTTACTGAATCTCTAAAAGATCCTACCTGGCATTACCCTTTGGCACATCTTCAGAGCTTTTTGTGTTTAGCCCCCATGCCTCACCTGCAGCAACCAAGGTTAACGCTGGTAAGGAAAGGCATCCTTGATGTGTTTGTGAAACCCCTAGAAGCAGGCACTAGTTACTGAATCTCTAAAAGAAAGGTTTTCCTTGGTAAAACTAAACCAGCCCTTGCTGAGGGCCTACAAAGCAGAATCGTGGTTCCTGTTGCTTCTGAGTGGTTGGAGGGTGGATCTATTTTTGGCAACATGCAGGCACCAGACATTGTACTCAGCTCAAACATACATCTCTCCTATCCACCGGGGTTGTTAGCATAATCAAATATTCATTTACAGCACAAGTTGGCAAATATAGGCATGATATAAAGTAATTCACCCCTGGTGTGTATGATTTAATATGATTATTCAGTGCTTATAAATACTTAAAGGGAGGGTGTCAAGAGGATGGGGCTGGTCTTTTCTCAGTGGTGCCCAGGGAAAGAGGAAATGGGCACAAACTTGAACACAGGAAGTTCCATCTAAACATGAGGAGGAACTTCTTCACTTTGAGGGTGGCAGAGCCCTGGAAGAGGCTTTTACAGGGAATGGTTTTAAATTGGAAGAGGGGAGATTTACAGGGAACGGTTTTAAATTGGAAAAGGGGAGATTTAGATTAGATCTCAGGAAGAAATTCTTTGCTGTGAGGGTGGTGAGACCCTGGAACACGTTGCCCAGAGAAGCTGTGGCTGCCCCATCCCTGGAGGGGTTCAAGGCCAGGCTGGATGGGGCTTGGAGCAACCTGGTCTGGTGGGAGGTGTCCCTGCCCATTGGAGAGAAGTTGGAACTGGATGATCTTCAAGGTTCCTTCCAACACGAACCATTCCATGATTCTATGATTCTGATTCCTCTCCCTGGCACTGTGAGGAAGAGTGAGCACATCCTCTGTGCTGTGGTGTCCTGAGCCCTCAATAAGCTGCTGCCACCCTGCCTATTGGAGAGAAGTTGGAACTGGATGATCTTCAAGGTTCCTTCCAACACGAACCATTCCATGATTCTATGATTCTGATTCCTCTCCCTGGCACTGTGAGGAAGAGCGAGCACATCCTCTGTGCTGTGGTGTCCTGAGCCCTCAATAAGCTGCTGCCCTCTCTCAGAGAGACACGGATGGGTCCAGCACGTCCAAGCACCGGGGTCTGGATGAGACCCCAAGGTCACAGAAGAATAAAGCTGCTGTTTCTAGGTAGTTGCCTCTTCTCCCAACCACAACCCAGGCTGGCTCTGCCCTCCTCCCGTGCCACGTTGGCACTGCTTCTCTCCCATTTCCCTGCCCAAGGGGAAGTGCCACGGGGTGATGGATGCAGAGAGGCAGGCGTGTGACTGTGACACATTTGTTGTTAGTCAGCAGCAACGCTCTCAGGTTTCAAACTGGCCAAAGTGATGAGCCTCTGCCTCTAAATATTCCCTGGGGAGGCAGGAAGGGAAAGCAGATCCAACCGTGAATGGGCAGGGTGAAGCTGACCTTGCTCCCAGGGAGGAAAGGAGGGAGGAGAGGTTTTCAGGGAGACTTTAGAGGTGGGCAGAGGGTGCTGAGAGGAGCTGGGAGCCAGACAGTGTCCGTGGGAGAGCAGGGATTAGGAGGGGGAGGATGATCCCACAGGCTTCCAGCTGTATGTGCTCCGCAGGGTAGTGACTAATGCATTGCAAAGGGCCCAGCAAGAGTCCTGCCCCCAGCGTGAGCTCCTCTGTGGCCTCCCAGCTTGTGCTTGTGGCCACAAAGAAGCACAGAGGAGTAAGTGATGCCCTCGATGTCCCTGGGACTTGGTAGTTAGGTTTGCAGTCTTGGTTTCCTCTGAATGCGCTGGACCATGTACCTACCTGAGGTTCCTCAGCAGCTGCAGGATCAATGCCATAGGCATTTCTGAGACCTGTAGCTCATTTCTAGGCTTCCCACAGTGCAAAACCCCTTTGGTAGGTAGTGCTTCCCAGTGACCCCATCCCAAGTCAAATGGTTGTGGCAGGAGAGCAGATGGAGGAAAGCTGCAAATGTCACTGCAAATGTTGCTCAGATGCACCCAAGGAGCTCCACGGTGCTTTGGGAGGGCCCATTGCTTGCACCCTATGTGTGGTTCACAACAGGTGAAAGCGGTTCATTTGTGCCTTTCCAGATAATGACAACAGACCCACACTGAGCTTTGGGGTGGAATATTTGGTGATCTTAGCTGGGAGGTGAATAATCTGTGTATTTCCTCTGGTGTCCACACCACTTCTCTCCTGGGGCTTCCAGCACTGACCAAGGAACTCTAACAAATCTTCCCTCACCATCATTTTCTTCAGTGGGATCTCAGACTCTCTGAAGCCACTTCAGCCTTAGTTGAGCTTTTGAGGGCAATGGAGGAGAGGAAGCAGTAGCAGATTAGAAGTCGACTTACACTGTTCCATGTCTCAGCCATGCTCAAGCTTTTCACCCAAGAGCATGCCTGAAGAAAAATGAGCCTCCAAAGAGGAGCAGGCAGGGCTTGTGCCTTGTGGGATGGCAGAGAAGTGTCCATCTCTTCTGGTGACATGATGTTGCAGGACTATAATGGAGAGGACTCCACTCATCTCTGTGAATAAGGCTTCCTCCAACCTCAGATGAATGCTGAAATCACAGTACGTGAGACAAGAACATGGCCAACGCCATGGTCACACCTTGTTTGTTGTAAGATGTTCATCCTGCAACCCTTGCTGAGCTGCAAAGCAGGAAAAGCCTGTGCCAGGCACTTCCAGCTCTCTGTTATCCTAGCCCTTGGGATTGCTGTCTACAGCTTTTGGCTTCCAGTACAGCTTGGATTTTCTCCTGAGCAGACCTTCTGTCTCTGCCTTGAGTTTGTCCAGCTGTTATCAACATTTGTGCTTCCTTGATGACTCATGCCCTGTTCCCTAACCACATCCCCTTCTCCCTTCTTACCCCCACCCACCGCAACTGAGTCACTTGGCCTCCTGTCACAAGCTTGAGAGCCTCTTCCTTCAGTCATGCATGGAGACACTTCTGGCTTAGGCTGACGTAAGCTCCTGCTGACTTCCTTTTTTTGCAGCAGGCTTCCAAGTAGGAGCTTGCTGGCTATTAACGGGCTGGTCCTGACCTGCCTACATTGAGTGCTCATTGCCTAGACCAGATGATATACCCAGACTTTTTTGCTCCCTGTACATGCAAAGGAAATGCTGTAGTTCAGCGTTGTCCTCTCCACCACACGCCAGTTCCCCAGAGGTAACCAGTCCAGTCCTAAGTGTTACATAGACACTACCCAACAGCCATGGGCAGCACTCCCGAGTTTGGGAGATGTAAGACGTGGCTCATGGAGGTTAGAGCTGAGAAAACCTGGTGCTCAAAAGCCTTTCCCATCTTCTGACCCACCAGCAACCCATGGGAAGTGACTTTACGGTTTGTACCCCAGGTCCTGGCAGCTGAAGAGCAGCTCAGTCTAGTTGTCACCCAGCCAAATCTTTCACAAGCTTCACTTTCCAAGTGTGAAATGCAGCCACTGCTGGTCTTGCTTTGAAGGTCTGCCTCACAGCCAGAAGGGTCTGGGTCTGTGGCAGACACACCAGACCAACCTGGTGTTCAAGCTGGGTGTCTATTGGTAGCTATTTTCCTTCATGCTCCCCATCTATGGTCATTGTCTCCATCAATCATGCCAAGCTCTTACTAGATGTTTTTTCTTTGTCAATGGGCAAATAGAGAGGGTTTTATTTACTAGCTTCTCTTTATGCCAAAGCTTCTTTCTTTCTAACTTAAAGTAACTTGCCCAGGGGCTGTAATTTTTATGAAGTGCAGAATCAGTGGGGAAGGAGCTGAATCCTCCAAATTCTCCTGGCTGATCTGATACGTTACCTTGGCATCTTTCCCAGTGTCAGCATTGTCAACTGAAGAGTGTTTTCAGCTGCTCATGGAGGGCATTTTAGCACAAGGGGAACGCTGGAAATGGAGGTGCCTTGTGTCCTTGTGCCTGCTGAGGAGAGGGCTGCTGCTGGGCACCTTAATTGAGGGCCACCTCTGCCACGTTAGGTGAGACGTTGATGTAATGTTTCATCTCCCCAGTATCTTTGTGAAGCAACGTGGTGTAACTTCCCAGGGTGGGAGGGCTACGTTCGAGATAAAAACATAAACTTGTCTGTACAGGAATGCTGTAATGGTTATAAACTGGGGTGAGTTTTTGCCTGGGTGTCACGGTGGTGACTGCCCTTGATTTGGGGCAAGACGTACCGGCGAAAAGCAACCTCCAGACCCTTTCCTTGGAGAATAAATATGGTTGGGCGCCATATTGGGCTGTGAAAAACTGGGTCAATCCCTGGGCTGTCTTCTTCAGCCATCCTGAGCGAGCAGACATGGTCACAGCCAGGCATGGTGGAAGAGGAAGATGGCTACTGAAGAGTAAAGTGTAATTATATCCCCCCAAACAGCCCCCGCCAAATCTTTCAGACAAGTTTGGAAACCTTTGGATATTTCTTGTTGTTTTCCTGCATGGCACTTGATGAGGTGGGCTGGCTCACTGCCCTTGTCCCCTCCTATACCACCTAAGGTGGTATAAAGCTTTCTGCAGGGAAGCTGGACCCCCCCATCACCCACACACCCTCCCCGGTGGTCCCAGCTTGTCCCTCTGTGCTGAGAGTGATGGTTAGGAGCATTGGGCCACACTTTGTCCTGACCCCACGTTGTGCCAGGAGAAAATCCTCCTGATGTAAACACCTTTCTACTGGGAAAGTCAGGCTCATTACCACCTCACTGCCTGATTTACTCGGTTCTGACACGCTCCCTTTGCTGCCTCTGTTTTTTCTCCTGCAGCATTCGTGTTTTGCCAGGTCCACCCGTAGCTGCCACTTTTCCTCTCTCCTGCCTTGCCCTCCTTTTTATCTCTCATTTTATCTTTTTGACTCCCCTGCTGCATCTCATGGACTCATGAGCTCCCTTCCAGGCAGCTTCGTCCTGTGGCTCTGGCTTCTCCCTTGGACTAGAAGGGCTTTGCAGATGTGTTGGTGTAAATAATACCCCCTCGTCGCTGCCAGAAACCGCTAGACTGTCCCTCCCGCAGAGAAGGGAAGAAGAAATCCAGTGGTTTGGTTTCCTGGAGGATGATAGTGCTGTATCCCTCTGAAAAGCAGTTGTTCAGCTTCAGAAAGTATATAAAAATGACAGGAGTGGGATTGTTCCAAAATTTTTGGAGACTTGATGGAAATGCAGTTGTGGTAAGCCAGTCATGGCTCAGAAATGTCTTTTGTTTTACTGGTGGGGAGGGGTTTTTTTCCCTCTTTCTCCTCAGCTTCCCTTATAATTAGGTGCTGCAGGCTCAAAAGGCACGGCTTGCTTGCAGCCACTGCCTTCCCCAGGCACAGAGGGCTGAGCTCAGGTCCATCTCATGCCTGCTGCAGGCTACTGGGGTGATAGCTGGCCTTCAGGGTGAACCTCACTGGCCACCCTGGCACGTTGGGAGGTAGGCCGCATCCTTGTTATCATCAGGGGACGATACTCAGAAGTGAACATCAAGATCCACTTGATGAACACTCAAGGTCCACTTGAGTGAACATCAGGTGCCCACCTCACCTCAGCCTTTCATGCTGTTGAGAGACCCCAGCTCCCCTTGGTTTCAAAGTGATTGAGTCACTCATGGTTCATGCAAAGCCTGCAGCAGAGCAGGGGACTCAAATCTCAAGTTTCTCATGTCCCCGTGGACAATCTCAAGGCTGGCTGGGGTAAGCAGAGAGCCTTCTCTTGAGTTCAAAGGAAGGAGCAATGAAGTCTGTGACACACTGGAGACTACAGCAGAAGGCAACCAGTTGTGTGGCAACACCTGTGACATGGAGCAGCAGTGGTGGGGTTCACAGATGTGTTTGGGTGGAGCGGGTCTTCTAGGAAAGCCAGAAAGGCTGCAGCACGTGTGTGGTGGTGGAGGAGGAAGCAGAGAGAAGACATTCACAGAAAACAAAACTTGCTTGCAGGGTGAATGTGGGATTTTGGAGCTGGGAGCTTCCTGCTGATCTGCTTCTGCTGGGTGGAACCACACGTGCAAGTTCTTTGTGGAAAAAAAGGGAACTGGTGGGAAGAACCCTGCCTGGTGCTTTGCAGACCAACTCAGTGAGGCCTGGGTTTGGCTCCAGCAACCAACCATTGCCAGAGTGTCTTCTTACCCAGGGGTCCCATGGGTACTGGCACAAACATAGTTGAGGTGGTTTCCTACAGATGCAGTGGGCAGGCCAGGCTTGCATAGCTTCTGAGACCAGGGCACTGCATTCATCATGGTTGAAAGCCTCCACTAAATCAGGCGATTTTCTCCTCCTTGGGTTATGAAGCACCAAGCTTCAGCCTTTGCCTAAATATTTCCAAAGTCCTTTGGGGAAGGCAGTAGCAAAAAAGTGCACTGTAAAGTATGATGGTCCTTCAGGAAGACCCAGCAAGTTGGGGAGATGGCATGACAGGAACTTTTCCAGGCTTTGTCCTGGAGCAGCAGAGGCTGGCTGTGCCTGGTGCTGGTTTTCTCCTGCCTGGGGTGGTGGGGACAGGCCATGGCAGGGCTGGGTTGCAGGAGGCAGGATGGTTCACACCTAGCCAAAGAGCATCACGACACCTGAGCCAAATGAACGCAGTGCCTTGCAGCCCCAGATTTATAAACCTTTCTTCTTGTCTCTGTTTGCAAACCAGGAGCAGGTCTTCAAGCTGAGTTTTTCCAACCCCCTTCAGCTTCTGTCCCTGCCTCTTGCCTTCCTCCTGTGAAGACATCAGATGCTGGAGCTGCTCCAATCCCTCCCTGCAGGTCTGTTTGTGGGCAAAAGGTGGGATCTTTAGCAGGGAAATCCCTGTTTAACCACACACAGCACTGCATGTCTGTGGGATTCCCCAAGGGGAAGAGGGAGGCACAAATTAAAGCTCCGTCCAGGCTGGGCCCCAAGTGCTCTCATCATCTCAGGCTCAGAAGAAGGTTGGGGGGACCAGCAACAAAACATGAGGTCTTTGGTCTGGGAAAAAACTTCTTCACGGTGAGGGTGACAGAGCCCTGGAAGAGGCTGCCCAGGGAGGTCGTGGAGTCCCCTTCTTTGGAGATTTTCACGACCTTCCTGGATGCCATCCTGAGTAACATGCTCTGACAAGCTCTAGGCAATCCTGCTTCAGCAGGGGAGTTGGACTAGATGATCTCTATGGTCCCTTCCAACTCTAAAAATTCAGTGAAAATTCAACTTATGAGAAGAGGCAGGAAATTCCCCAGCGCTGGGGATTTCCTTCAAATGAAGCTGCTGTAGGAGGCTGCCTGCAGAGGACCTTCCTCAGGGCTTGGGTGATCACCAGCTGGGGCAGGCAGGGGACCTCCAGCAGCAGGACCACAGAGCCACAGCTCTGGGCAGTGCTGTCTCACTCATGTTCTGGAAGGCTCTTTCCTTGCCATGGCAGGAGGATGGTCCATTGCACCTGCATTTATCACAGCCAGCCGTCCCTTCCCCTGGTCTGGTGGCACCACTGGGACAGTGACATCTCCTGGGGCCGTGCCTATGGGTGGGGGGTGTCCTGTATAAGAAGGACCCAGCAAGGCATGGCCAGGGATACAGGGCAGGATAGATGGCTAGATGGTCGCATCCAGAGGGTGGTACTCAATGGGATCTTTAGCAGGGAAATCCCTGTTTAACCACACACAGCACTGCATGTCTGTGGGATTCCCCAAGGGGAAGAGGGAGGCACAAATTAAAGCTCCGTCCAGGCTGGGCCCCAAGTGCTCTCATCATCTCAGGCTCAGAAGAAGGTTGGGGGGACCAGCAACAAAACATGAGGTCTTTGGTCTGGGAAAAAACTTCTTCACGGTGAGGGTGACAGAGCCCTGGAAGAGGCTGCCCAGGGAGGTCGTGGAGTCCCCTTCTTTGGAGATTTTCACGACCTTCCTGGATGCCATCCTGAGTAACATGCTCTGACAAGCTCTAGGCAATCCTGCTTCAGCAGGGGAGTTGGACTAGATGATCTCTATGGTCCCTTCCAACTCTAAAAATTCAGTGAAAATTCAACTTACGAGAAGAGGCAGGAAATTCCCCAGCGCTGGGGATTTCCTTCAAATGAAGCTGCTGTAGGAGGCTGCCTGCAGAGGACCTTCCTCAGAGCTTGGGTGATCACCAGCTGGGGCGGGCAGGCAGGGGACCTCCAACAGCAGGACCACAGAGCCACAGCTCTGGGCAGTGCTGTCTCACTCATGTTCTGGAAGGCTCTTTCCTTGCCATGGCAGGAGGATGGTCCATTGCACCTGCATTTGTCACAGCCAGCCGTCCCTTCCCATGGTCTGGTGGCACCACTGGGGCAGTGACATCTCCTGGGGCCATGCCTATGGGGGGGGGGTGTCCTGTATAAGAAGGACCCAGCAGGGCATGGCCAGGGATACAGGGCAGGATAGATGGCTAGATGGTCGCATCCAGAGGGTGGTACTCAATGGCTCAAAGTCCAGATGGAAACCAGTCACAAGTGGTGTTCCTCAAGGGTCCGTGCTGGGACCGGTGCTGTTTAACATTTTTATCAATGACATAGACAGGGGGATTAAAGGCACCATCAGCAAGTTTGCGGACGATACCAAGCTGTGTGGTGTTGTCGATACAGCCCCAAGTGCTCTCATCATCTCAGGCTCAGAAGAAGGTTGGGGGGACCAGCAACAAAACATGAGGTCTTTGGTCTGGGAAAAAACTTCTTCATGGTGAGGGTGGCAGAGCCCTGGAAGAGGCTGCCCAGGGAGGTCGTGGAGTCCCCTTCTTTGGAGATTTTCACGACCTTCCTGGATGCCATCCTGAGTAACATGCTCTGACAAGCTCTAGGCAATCCTGCTTCAGCAGGGGAGTTGGACTAGATGATCTCTATGGTCCCTTCCAACTCTAAAAATTCAGTGAAAATTCAACTTATGAGAAGAGGCAGGAAATTCCCCAGCGCTGGGGATTTCCTTCAAATGAAGCTGCTGTAGGAGGCTGCCTGCAGAGGACCTTCCTCAGAGCTTGGGTGATCACCAGCTGGGGCGGGCAGGCAGGGGACCTCCAACAGCAGGACCACAGAGCCACAGCTCTGGGCAGTGCTGTCTCACTCATGTTCTGGAAGGCTCTTTCCTTGCCATGGCAGGAGGATGGTCCATTGCACCTGCATTTATCACAGCCAGCCGTCCCTTCCCCTGGTCTGGTGGCACCACTGGGACAGTGACATCTCCTGGGGCCGTGCCTATGGGTGGGGGGTGTCCTGTATAAGAAGGACCCAGCAAGGCATGGCCAGGGATACAGGGCAGGATAGATGGCTAGATGGTCGCATCCAGAGGGTGGTACTCAATGGCTCAAAGTCCAGATGGAGACCAGTCACAAGTGGTGTTCCTCAAGGGTCCGTGCTGGGACCGGTGCTGTTTAACATTTTTATCAATGACATAGACAGGGGGATTAAAGGCACCATCAGCAAGTTTGCGGACGA